CCCCCCCCCCACCCCAGCTGGGAGCAGAGCTACCCACTCAACCCACTCATTCCTGATAGTCACAGCTGGCCAAAACCACATGGGCGAACAGACTGGCTTTCAGGTGCTTCATTCAGAGCCCTGGATTGTAATCCCTGCAATGTCATTCAGATATTTCTAGCTCTGAGAGCTTGGCCGCGTCTCCTGCACTCTTGCACCTCAGTCTTCTTACCTTCCTCTCCGTGTCCATTCCATAGCCTATGATGTCAGGGCCTATGAGATCAGGCATTGGAAAAAACCTTTCTCACTTGTACACACCTAAGACATATATTGATCTAAACTTAGTTTGCCCTCAGCTGCACCCCTTCGAGCTCTCTGCATATCCCTCAGATCATTATGCGTCACGATTGTGCCCCTGTCAGGAAACAGATGATCTAGTCCTTTCTCCTTGAGGGTCTCGTGGACAGCTTAAGGAGACCATACACATGGCGAGGAGGACACAGGGAGGCACGCTAAACAAATTTCAGTTCAATTCAGAGCACATTTAGTCATCAGTCACCTGCTGGGTGCCAGGCTCTTAGGGTACCAGGAGCACAGAGGATGCCCCTTGAGCTGTAAGGTTTCCTAGTGTGCAGGTGAAGAATCAGCTGATGAGAGCTGGGCTGCGTGGGTTCGAGAATCAGCTCCTCTCAGCTAGCTGTAAACTTGGCCAGGTTATTTTAGAGCTAATGACGGGGTGGTGTTGAGGATTAAATGAGTTACTATATAAAGTTCCCTAAGAGATGCCTGGCATATAAGTACCAGCTGTTTTTAGGACATAAGCGAAACCCATAAAGGTAAACAAAATCCTACTAGATTTCACCTGTCTCCAGGGTGATAGGGGAAAGCCTTAGGGTCAGCGTGACATTGGTGCTGTGCCTGGAAGGATGAGGCAGAGTTCAGAAGAGAGACAGAAAGGAGGAGGAACATCAAGAGTGAGAGTGGCGGCTTCAGGGGTTAGTGCGTGGGGAGGGGTTGGGATTACTAAACTAGTAGAAGAACGCAGCTGCCAGTCTGCTCAAGTGTTCAGAGTAAAGGGGAATAATGGAAGGGAGAGGTCGGGTGTGAAGGAGTGATTAAGGAAGGTGTAGTGAGGCAGAGCCATTTATGCAGTTACAGAAGGAGTCACAAAGGAGCAGGTTTCGTGGGCGGAACTGAGTCATCCAGGCGGTGGAGCCCCCGGGGCAGGAAATGAGGAAGGGGATGGGAGAGGAGGGGGGAAATGGTTCCAAATGGCATCTCGAAGCGTTGAGATGAACAGTGGTTTGGAAACAGTACAGGAGGCCGGAGGTCCCAGCCGGGGAGCTCAGAAAGGTGGCAGTGGCTGATGTTTTCCTCTGCAAGACGGGCTTGGGTCCCCTTCCCACCCGGCCTCGGTGAAGTGGGCCAGGAGCCAGAGGGTATGAGGAAGCAGGGAAGGAAGGAGGGAGGGGGAGCTGCAGGCGGCTCGGGACACACTGCGGCAGACCTGACTGCTGCCTGCTCCCGGAGGCCTGCCTCCCCGCCCGGGTCCCGGCTGCAGAACCATGCTCAGGGCTCGCTCAGTGGGCCTCTGGCTGCTTCAGAGCACTTGGTAATGCTGAGTTGCCCTGTGCCCACATCACCTTTTTATGAGGTCAGCTTTACCAAGAGCAGACTGGCGAGGGAGAGGCAGGAGGCCAAAGGAGCGCGGTGCTTGCCTTGGGTAATGAGTCAGTCAGGGCGGCCCTGGCCCCGAGGCTCCCAAAGCCCAATTCAGCACCTTTCATAGCTGTCCTGCAGTTTCCCTTGGGAAAAGCAAGCTCCTAACTTGAAGATCATAGAAACTTGGGCACTCTTGTGCTTAAAACCTTCAAGGTGTTGGCTGCCCTGCACCTACAGGACAAAGTTCATTCTGCAGGATGCAGCTTTACAAGGCCGTCCGTGCCCTGGCTCCTATCTCCGGCTCCAGCCTTGTTCTCACTCCTCCACACCCTCACATTCTATGTTCTAGTATTATCCAGCCGCCTGGCCTGCCTCTCATAAAACTGTACTGTCTGTACTTCTGCTTCTGTACTGTTTGTCACTTCTGCTCATTCCTTTTTTTTTTTTTT